CAGCACTTACGGAACATGAGGGAAGACTTTTCCATGAAAAACAAATATTTATTGACAATGCATTTTACTGCTTCCGCTTGATGAATAGCTGAGCTGGTGATTGCGTCAGAAGGCAAAAAAAGTCAGTATCGTTCAGCAGGTTGACAAAACCAGGCGGTTTAGCATCGGCCAAAGCAGTAGCAAACGTTGCCAAATGCAAAATTAGAAAGTCAAACTATGTGTTACATGAATTTTAAAGATACAAACAATGAATATTCCTGGCTAGGAGACTGAAGAAGACGGGGGCCTGAAATCTTTTATATGTTAATATATGCAGTTAGTTTGGCGTTATTGGCCCCACCGTGGAGAGGAACACATTCGAATTATGGTATTCCAAGTGTAATATCTTTAGAAAAAGCAATAATACTAACCTGATTTTCCTCATTAATAGAAATCATGTCATCTTTCAGCAACAAAACGTCCATTTCGTAGTTAGGCAATCGAACATCCAAAACAAGTGCTTTCACACAACTCCCTTTCTGGAAATTCAATGCAATCAAATCAGTCTAAGGCAAGTGAACGGGAAAAAGCCCAAAGCTAAATCGCTTTAGCAGTGCGACCCTATAAATCTAAATATGTAAAAAACATGACTTTACGGCCTACAAAAGGCCCAAAATAGCAACCTTTAGATCGGCGCTATTTGTTATCCGCGCATATCCCTTCAAATCCGATCCATCCGTGCTTTTCACGATTGCAGTGTCGCCAGAGATTTCTTTGATTTTTACATTAATACAGCGTCCAATTTCAGGAACAATTAGCCCACTGGAATTATTTTCCACCAGCCAATTTAGCTCTTTCAAAGCAGATCGGACCATGATATGCGCGTAATAATCACGATCCTCACCTTCTGGCACGCATAACTCTGTCTGAAATGAATGCACAGAACTGCATGTGATTCAAAAGTCAAAAACTCTCTGTACTGGCTATGAGTGGCAGAAGTACACAGCAAGCAATCCAAGTGGTAGCAAATCCAATAGCAACCAAAGTCCATGGGTCCATCTTTCGAGGGCTGCTTAGAAGAAAGCTGATGGCAGGTTTGACTCCTTAGCATATGCTGGTACCAATTTACCGTCGAAACCAGTAAACGATCCGCAGAGAAATTAGTTGTTCCTCGGACAGAGTCGACTCTTTACCCGCTGCACAACGACAGTGATGCTTGCTAGGCTCAAAGTCTCATAATTTTGATAAATCGTAATAAGACG